GACGGCAGTCAGGTAGGGATGAAGATGACGGCATCGGGAGTCATGGTGGTGGAAGATGAGTGGGCCGAACCCATTGTCCCACTTGGCCTCCTGACTAGCAAGTTAGGATATGTGGCGTCATGGAAGAAAGGGCGCATGACCCTAAGCCACCCCATTGATGGAAAGGTGGAGGTCTGCATGAGAAGTGGATGTCCTCAGGTATCCCGGCTTGATGCCTTGAGGATGATTCAGAAGCTGGAAGAGGTGGAGACGCCAAGAATGCAGGCCCTGAAGCTTAGCCAAGAAGAGATGTGGCTGTGGGGGTTGATGGAAGCCCATCCGGTACTGAGGATGTTGCCGGAAGCCATCAAAAGAAGATTGGTGGTGAAGCCAGCAGAGGATCTCAGAGGTATCCCTGATGCAAACCGCCGAAGAAGAAGAGTGATGGCAGAACAGGGGTTCGTGGTTCACCTCTATGCCGGTGAGAGTGCCGGGTACAACCTCAGCCGAGCGTTCAAAGAAGCAGGAGGAGATGGACGAAGGCTGGTGGAAATAGATGTAAAGAGGGAAAACCACGAGAAGCACAGGAAAGGAGCACACGATATGCTCGATGATGAGAATGGACCTTTTGCGTCCCTATTGAGGAGTGCCTTGGATGGATCGCTGCTGGGCATTGTCATGGGCCCAAATTGTAGGACGAGGTCAATTCTTCGTCACTACCCGTTGGCAATCCCAGGAGGAGGTCCTCGGCCGTTGAGGAGTTGGGATCAGCCATGGGGGAAATCAGGTAATACCCCAGAGGAGCAGCGAAAGGTGGAGGATGATGATGTGTTGCTTTGGAGGGGACTGATGTTGTTCATCATCAGGGAGGAGGTCAGGAAGGCGCTCCACAGTGACAAAATTCCTGTCACAAGGTTGGGATTGGAGCAGCCAGCAGATCCAACCCACTACATTCCCGAGGTGGTCACGCTCTGGAAGACTGAGGAATGGGAACTGCTTCGAAGCATGTACGACCTTAAAGCCCAGAGCTTTAAGCAGTCAGCCTGGGGAGGTCGAGCAGTGAAACCCACGACGTTTGCTGGCAACATCACTCTGAGGCTGCCGGAGGAAGACCAAGCAGAGAGCTTTGAGGAGTCGGCAGCGAAAGCTCAGGTGATGAACTCAGCGGAGCTGTCAAGATGGCCGCCGGGAATGATGAAGGAAGTTGCCATGAGGATCCAGCAGGATGTCCTTCGAGCGAAGCTGAAGGCGGCCAAGATGTCATGGGCAGAGCATCTGGAAAGGGGGCACACACCGTTTCGACGTGACTGTAGAGTGTGTCAAGAAGCATCAGCCAGAGGTCGGATGCATTCTAAGGTGAAGCATCCCAGGGCAGGTGTGATGAGCCTGGATGTTACCAGTCCCTACAAGAAAGGGAAGGACATCGATGGTGAAGCCAAGTTCATGTTGATTGGCACCTACACCTGGCTCAGACCCCCCGATGAGGAAGAGGCAACAGAAGTTGATGAAGAACCAGAGCTCGAAGCCCAAGAAGATGAGGATCAGTGGCCAGAGATTGAAGATCAAGAAGCCGCACAAGAGGAAGAAGAAGAGCAGGCAGAAGCAGCAGAAGACCCCCAGGAAGAGCAACAAGCAGAACCCCCACGAGCATTTGAGCAGCCCCCTGAACCCCCAAAGATTGAGGTGATGAGAATCGGCATTCCCATCAAAGGGAAAACACAAGAAGCAGTCTTGAGTGGCTTCATTGAGTTGTACCTTCAGTTGAAGGTAGATGGTTTTCCGGTGCATACAGTGCACACGGATCGAGGACGTGAATTCGTCAATCGACGATTCAGAAGTTGGTTAAAATGCAGAGGAGTTGTGCATTCAACCAACGGAGGAGAAGATCCTATGGCCAATGGAAGAGCCGAAAGGGCTGTTGGCGAAGTGAAGAGAAGAATAAGAAGGATTCTCCACGGCTCGGAGATGGATGTGTGTTGGTGGCCTATGGCACTCAGGTTCCTGATGGAGTCAGCCAGATTGAGGAGGAAGAAGGAGGGCATCAAGGTACCCCAGTTTGGGGAGAAGTTACTGGTGAAGACAAGGAACTGGCGCACAAAGGCATTTCAACCCACACATGAAGCAGCACGATACTTGGCACCAGCCATAGAGGCACATGGGCATTGCGTGCTGAGAGAAGATGGACGTTGGGGTGTTGCCCCTTATGTGGTTCGAAGCATACAGGAACCACCGCCGCCCAAAGATGAAATGTGGCTGGCGATCGCAGAGGAGGTGGAAAAAGACGAAATCCAGGAGAGGAGAAGGATCAGAGAGAAGAGGCCAATCAGGGATGGAGGACTGGAAAGCCTTTTGGGGATCAGAAGAGAATGATCCAAGAAGAGGCACAGAGCGTGGAGATGGACCAGCTGGACAACGCACTGCTCACCTTTCAGAAGATGGACCCTTGGAAGAAGGTGATGAAAAGGGCGGAGGGAGCAGAGCAGGAGATTCTACAGACAAAGATAGTCTCTCCGCAAGAGCTGGTGAAAGATGTCCACCTCTGGGATGAAGCCATTAAGGCCGAGCTAGATGCTCTCCTTAATGCCAAGGAAGCTTTGAGGAAGATCACTTCAGAAGAAAAGGCCAGGCTAGAGGAGAGGCATCCCGACCTGCTCGTGGTGCCCTCGAAGTTGGTCATCACGAGAAAGGCAGGTGGTCGCCGAAAGGTGCGGATTGTGGCTTGTGGAAACTACGTCGAGAAGACAGAGAAAGAAGATGTCTTTGCTAGTGGATCAGATTCCATTAGCTTCCGCATAGCACTGAAGAAGAGCTTGGATGAGGGATGGACAGGAGCCACAGCCGATATCAGAACGGCGTTTTTGAATGCACCTCTCGGTAGGTCGGCAGAAGCTTTGGAGGGCCTATGGAAGAAAGAAGAGCTCGAGGAGCTAGGCCAAGAAGTAGTGGTAGTTCTGGTCAAGCCACCAGCCCTGCTGATCAAGCTCGGCTACATCAGCCCCGAAGACTGGTGGGTCGCAGTCAAGGCGGTCTACGGGCTGAGACAGAGCCCCAAGGCTTGGGGTGACCACAGAGCCCTGGTTCAATCCACCACGGACCCAAACGTCTGGAAGATCGTGAAGAGGTCCGGTGGGCTGGATGAGGAGATGGAAGGGCTATGTGTGGTGTATGTTGATGACCTGATGGTCTTATCCCAAGAGCACATCGTCAAGGAGTGCCTTGAGAGGATATCCCGAGAGTGGGAAATAAGCACCCCGGAATGGCTAAACGAGGTCAAGCCAGTCAAATTCCTGGGGATGGAGGTCTTGATGGGCACAAAGAGTGCTTTCATCACACAAGAGAGCTACGTACAGGACCTCCTCAGACGAAATGGCGAAGAGGAAGGCCATAAGTCTGGAATTCCGATCTCAAAGGATCAGGTGTTGAGGCTGGAAGAAGAAGACCACACGAAAAGCCCAGAAGACGTCAAGGCTGCACAGCGTGCCACTGGCGAGCTGATGTGGCTTGTCACACGCAGCCGTCCAGATTTGATGTTTGCATTGAGTAAGATGTCTCAAGCCACACTGAAGAATCCCAAAGAAGTCCTCTTGGTCGCCAAGCAGGTGTGGAAATATTTGAGGAAGACCAAGGCAGAAGGTCTGGAGCTGAAGGCTGGCGGTAAGGACCTTGAGGTTTATACAGATTCCTCCTACGGACCAGGTGGTCTCGACTCCCAAGGAACTGTATTGGTGTTATGGGGAAAAAGCCTCATCATGTGGAAATCGGGCCGACAAGGAGCGCCTGCCCTCTCAACAGCTGAGAGTGAGCTGACAGAGGGAATTGATGGAATGATCATGGGGGATAGTGTGGATGTTCTCATTCTGGAGCTCAGCCAGGATACATATGCCAAGGTGATCAAGATAGACAACACAGCAGCAGTGAGCTTGATGACAGAAGCTGCTGGAAGTTGGCGCACACGCCATCTGAGATTGAGGGCGTCCCATCTGCGGTGGAGGATTGGACGATTGGATTGGGTGGTGGAGGCGATCTCAGGTCAGGTGCAGATTGCAGACATTGGGACAAAGGCCCTCACAGCTCCGAGGTTAGAGGAGTTGAAGCAGATGATGGGCATGAAGCAGAGAAGAGATGATCAAGAGGAGGAGAGGCAGGAGCAGAAGGATTCAGGATCGAGCCAGCACATGAAGAAAGGAGCAGAGGAGACAGGGCTTCAGGAGGCAGGAGCAGAGGTTGAGAGGATTTTGAGGATGCTCATCCTCCTCTGCAGCGTCCAACAGGCCAAAGCTCAAGAACAGGAAGAGGAGGAGGGTTGGAGCTCTTTAGCTCAACTTGTAGCTCTGACGGTGTTTGCCATGATCGGCGTCACGACATGCATAGGCTGGATGGTGAGGTTGATGACCCCAGTGAGGAGGAGCTTGGAAGAAGAAGAATTGAAGAAGAGAGTGAAAGAAGCACTCTCGGCACACTCGAGCCAGAGGGGCGCGAGTCGCGCACAGGAGTCAAGCCATGGAAGGGCGACTCCGACGAGGAAGGAGCAGGGCCATGAGGATGAAGGAGGAAGACAGCAGCAGACGGCAGCCAGCTCAACATCTGGAGTTCACACACCAGAGGAGCCAGCATCTAGTTCTCAAGCAGTCCCCCCATCCCAGATCTCCGTGAAGGCTCCGCCACCAATTACCAAACAAGCTCCGCTACCAGCACCAGCCAGCACCCAACACCAGAGAACAGTGCCAACTATGAGCGGGAACACATGGACCCCGGGAGAAGAAAGAGGCCAGAGGGCGGTGAGAGGAAGCATCCTATCACCAATTTTTGTGACTCCATGGGGTGCCCGCTATCATGAATACACAAGTTGTCCTACTTTGGCCAACACAAAGAGATTTGTGCCGTGTCAGTGGTGCGATGTTTGCGCCCCACTCGGAAAGACTGGAGACCAACCGGTGTACACGTGTGGACCGGGTTCGAAAGCGCACTACGATTCCGACTGCGTTGCGATGACTGACTCTGGAAGAAAGTATCAGAAATGTCAGCGCTGCGTGGATGCGACTTAGCGAGTGAGAGACGGCTTGAGTCAATCTTGGAAGGTCACCGTTTTTAGGTTTTTGTTACCTTCCACTGGCACCTAATGCTTGTGGCCATGGATGGAAATTCCCATGCCAATTGAATTTTCCAAATGCGTCAAGTCAAATGTGTAATCTGCAGATGGGCATCGCAGATTAGGAGGAGTGTTTGTGCTCTTGTTCATATGCCTGCATATCCCATTCTGCATTTCATTCAATCCAACATTACCTTAGCCGTTTCGAGATCGAAAACAAGAAGGCGCGTCCGTGGATTGGGCGTTGGTGTGGGAAGACCCGCACAAATCGAGAAGTGTACAAGGCACACAAGGCGAAGGACACTTGGGACTCAGGGCTGACCTTAAACAATATATATATACACACATGTGGGTGTGTATGTGTTTGTGTCGTACATGTGTGATCATACGCGAGCTGCGTGCCACAGATCCCAAACAGAGAACATGTGCCTCATCGAGAGATCCCTTTGGAAAGCTCTCCGAGCTAAGAGGTGGCACTTTGTGAGCCATTGCAAGCCGCTTTGCTACCACTCAACGGGTCAACAAACCCCAGGAATTGAAGACCTTACCCCGGGCCTCTTGAATCATGTTACTGTAATCATGTTTCTTGCAAATCTACTGGATCTATGTTGGACACTCATGGGTCAATATTTCCTCAATGGCTCTTGCCAAAAATTGACTTTTCGTACTCATTCCTAGTCCTACTCAAACGGCTCTGAACCAAAAAGCGGGCAATGAAGTCCATCCAGCTTTCAGCAGTTTCCAATTCCAAATCTCCTATGCGCTAAAGTGACAATGGCAACGCCCCATTGGGAACCGTGTTGATTTTTGTGGCAGGTGTCACGGTTTCACAGCATGACGTCATGCATCAACGTATATCAATGTACTCTGAAAGGAGCACGATTTAAGCTGATACGAGTTGTGCAAATATTGCTGAAAAAGTATACTCGTGCGATCTCGTGTGGGCTTTGAGCATCTAGGTGACAGGCTGACTGCGCTGAAGAGCAGCACGTCCAGGGCGGCTCTGTGCCCACCTGTGCTGTACGGTCGCGGGGCAACGCTGCTTTCAATACCTTTTGAGTCCTGTCTTAGCAATTTCAAGCATGTGTAAGCACTGTGTCAGCGGTTTGAGGACTGGAGTTTGAACAGAGCCTGTAGAGTCTTTTCACGTGACCAGCTCTTAACCTTGGCGCGTGGCCAGCTGACATGATCTGACATTCGTTAATATGATGGCCATATGTGTTTTTTGCCCGTGCAATAATGAGTTGTTAAAGTTTTGAAATGCTTTCAAGGGCAGCTTATGCAGCGCGATCTGTGTCTAGCTTGGCAATTCCACTTGCTATGGCCCCAACTTCCAATCTTGCGCTTTAGCGATTGCTTCAACAGCCGCGTGCCTAGGAGAAATGACGCAGGCGCCTTGAACAATCAGGATTTATCTTCCAGTCCTTGACGTGATCAGGACATATCAGGGGTCACAGTTCTTTTTCTTCCCATCTGATGGCAACACCAATGATGGCAACAGGATGCACGATACCAAATGCCAGGTGTCTGACGGGCTTCCACCAGCGACAATACCAAGTCCTACAGCCATCATGGTGAGTACGGAGCCTCTATGGCACTATGGTGCTATGAATATCTGTGAATTGGGAGGACATTCGGTACAAAGCGCCCCTTGAAGAAACTTTCAGCTCGCGACTCGCCGCTGCCATCATCATAGCATCCGCACGCCATTGCAACACCTGCAAGCTTTAGAAGAGCTGGTCATGTTTTTTGCTATCTTGAACTCACGTTGTGTATGTAATAATGTGTGTACGTACGGGAACAAACAAGAATCAAACAGCTACACATAATTACACATATATCAATATATATGTGTGTGTGTGTGTGCGTGTATCTATATATGCATGTATGCCTGTATTAAAGATGCTGTATAGATAATTATATGTGCATCTGAGATGTATGCGTCAGGCTGCCGTCCAAAAACGAAGCCCCAACGGGAGAAGGTATGAGACTGTCAGGCTATCGGGCAAAAAAATGCATGTTTCTCCTGAAACGAAATCATAAGCAATCTTCGCAAACCAAAAGCATTGCAGTGACATCCAGAAATTTATTGGTGTGGACAGTGCTACACATAAAACCCAACATGAGATCCAAAAGGGAAAATCCAAAATGTTGCAAAATCTTGGGATATTAACGCTTTCCAAAAATTCCTTGGAATTGAGAAGATTGGCAACCAAGAAAACCTGATTTGCTTGTGCTCTTCCAGTTTTTTCTAAGCAAGGAAACCCGTTACTGGCGTTACAGGCATTGGGTGGCACTCAATGTATCTCCGTGTTTGCGTGTTTTCATGTTTATTCAATTGTATTTTATTTAAATTTAAGATTTACAATCAATCTATACTTGATTTAGGGACATGATACTAAGTGAAAGCTCAACATATCCGCCGACCCCGGCAGACGCAAGGGGGAGCGCGCCAGGGAATAAGACATTGCGACTACTACTATGCTACTGCAGCTACAGTAGATAGAAACAGCAGCAGCAGTAGCAGCAGCAGCAGCACAACAACCACAACAACAACAACAACAACAAGAACAACAACAACAACAACAACAACAACAATGACCCTTTGCCGGGGGACCCTGTTGGGTCCCCCTCCCACCGGTCACGTACGTCGATTCATTGACTCCGGGGTTTTTGCTTTACCGGTGGGGGGTCCTTCCCGGAGTCTCCTCGAGGTACGTGGGGCTCCTTGGGTTGCCCTTCCCGCTCTGATTTGTTCGTTCGAGGCCGCATCCTCGAGGTTCTATGTCTCATTGTACAAACAGTGGTATAAAAATTGGTCGAAACCGGGAAAAGGTTCGCAAAATTGGCAAAAGGTGGCGCGTCTGTCCTTCACTGCCATGGTGTTTGGGTGTGGCGGAGTATTGGCAAAAGACTATTTTTAATAGGGTTTCAGAAGGGACGTTAAAGCGGAAAAGGTTGGGAAAAAGAGGCAGAGACACATTTTTTCTAGGAATTCAGAAGGGATGTTAGGCAGTTTTTCGGTGCGATTCTGTGGCCTGTTCGTCCTTCCGTGCCTTGCTGTTTTGGTGCCGGGAGGTGCTCTTGCTACTCTTCTGTTAGCAGAAGCAGCAGCAGTAGGTGAGCTGCTGGGAGATTGAAAAAGCGGAAAAGGTTGGGAAAAAGAGACAGAGACAAAAAGGTTGGGAAAAAGAGACAGAGATTTTTTTTTTCTTAGGAATTCAGAAGGGACGTTAGGCAGTTTTTCGGTGCGATTCTGTGGCTTGTTCGTCCTTCCGTGCCTTGCTGTTTTGGTGCCGGGAGGTGCTCTTGCGACTCTTCTGTCAGCAGCAGCAACAGCAGCAGCAGCAGCAGGTGAGCAGATGGGAGATTGAAAGAGCGGAAACGGTTGGGAAAAAGACATTTTTTCTTGGAATTCAGAAGGGCCGTTAGGCAGTTTTTCGGTGCGATTCTAGGGCCTGTTCGTCCTTCCGTGCCTTGCTGTTTTGGTGCCGGGAGGTGCTTTTGCTACTCTTCTGTTAGCAGCAGCAACAGCAGCAGCAGCAGGTGAGCTGATGCTTCCGTGCCTTGCTGTTTTGGTGCCGGGAGGTGCTCTTGCGACTCTTCTGTCAGCAGCAGCAACAGCAGCAGCAGCAGCAGGTGAGTTTTTTTGGGTTCATGTGTTACGTTTTGGGCACGAAATTAGGTGGTGTTTTGCTGTTTCGGAACCGTTTCGAAACAGCAGGCCCAGCTATAATATTGTTTAGGAGATTCTGGGGGATTCGGCCGAAACAGCTGGCCCAGCTAGGATTCCCGAACTAGGATCTAGATCTAGATCTAGGATTTTCTATAGGATATAGGATTCTCTAGGATTTCAGACGGGACGTTAGGCAGCACGAAAAATTGTGTTTTTCTAGGGTGGCACCAATGGGTGTCAAGAACGTGGGCAAGAGCACGCAAAAGGTGCACATAGCCAGTAGCTAGCAGCCAGCGCCAGTAGCAGCCAGCGGCCAGTAGCCAGCAGCGTACCAAAAAATCTAAATTTTTCTAGGATTTCAGACGACACGTTAGGGACTTTTTTGGCGTGGTTCTGGCACTCGCTCGTCCTTCAGAGCCCTGGTGTTTTCCCCCCCCGGGAGGTGATTTTTTCGAACCTGTTTTACTGCTAGCAGCCGCCAGCAACAGAATCTATCGAAAAATTGCGTTTTTTCTAGGGTGTCAGACGACAACCCCCAGTAGCAGCACGGTAGCAGCAGCGTACCAAAAAATCTAGATTTTTCTAAGGGTAAGGATAGAGGCTAGGATAGTAGGAGTGATAGGATTTCAGACGACACGTTAGGGACTTTTTTGGCGTGGTTCTGGCACACGCTCGTCCTTCAGAGCCCTGGTGTTTCCCCCCCGGGAGGTGATTTTTTCGAACCTGTTTTACTGCTAGCAGCCGCCAGCAACAGAATCTATCGAAAAATTGTGTTTTTCTAGGGTGTCAGACGACACGTTAGGCAAGAGCACGCAAAAGGTGCACATAGCCAGTAGCTAGCAGACAGCGCCAGTAGCAGCCAGCGGCCAGTAGCCAGCAGCGTACCAAAAAATCTAGATTTTTCTAGATTTCAGACGACACGTTAGGGACTTTTTTGGCGTGGTTCTGGCACCCGCTCGTCCTTCAGAGCCCTGGTGTTTTCCCCCCCGGGAGGTGATTTTTTCGAACCTGTTTTACTGCTAGCAGCCGCCAGCAACAGAATCTATCGAAAAATTGTGTTTTTCTAGGGTGTCAGACGACACGTTAGGCAAGAGCACGCAAAAGGTGCACATAGTCAGTAGCTAGCAGCCAGCACCAGTAGCAGCCAGCGGCCAGTAGCCAGCAGCGTACCAAATACCAAAAAATCTAAGATTTAGATTAGATAGAGAGAGAGAAAAGAGGGAGAAGAGAAGAGAAGACAAATAGTAGAAGAGAGGGGGAAAAAGAGAGAGAGCAGAGAG